CCTAAGGTCTTAAAATCCTACTATCTAAAAACAGGTCCCGACAAACCCGGACCTAAGGTCTTAAAATCCTACTATCTAAATTCAGGTCACGTTGAACCTGAACCTGAGGTCTTAAAATCCTTTAAATGAGTCCAGGTCACGACAAACCCGGACCTAAGGCCTTAAAATCCTACTATCTAAAAACAGGTCCCGGCAAACCCGGACCTAAGGTCTTAAAATCCTACTATCTAAATCCAGGTCACGTTGAACTTGAACCTGAGGTCTTAAAATCCTTTAAATGAGTCCAGGTCACGATGAACCTGAACCTGACGTCTTAAAATCCTTCATATAATTCCAGGTCACGGTGAACCTGAACCTAAGGTCTTAAAATCCTGCGAACGAATCTAGGTCCCTGTGAATCGGGACCTGAGGTATTCAAATCCTCCGAACCTAATCCAGGTCACAACGAATTTGAATCTGAGGTTTTAAAACCCTTCAAATGAGCTCAGATCCCTACGAGCCTGAGCCTGAAAACTCAAAGTACTTTAATAAGTCCCGAAGACTTGAAAATAATCAAACAAATTCAGATCCACGAGAAGTTATTTTTAATGGCCTCAAAGGCTACTTAAAAAAGATTTGGATCCCTAAAAGAGTTTGATCCGGTCACAGAACTTAGTTCCGGTAATCTAAAACAACCAAACATAACTCGAATCAAAGTAAAATAAACCAAAAACGAGTTGAATAACTTGAAACAAAGGTTAAAACCGAGAAATGAGACAAGGTTTAAAAGCCTCCTCAGGCTATAAGTCTTAAAAACATAAATAAAAAGCCCGTAGGGCAAACATCCTAGAAGCATAGGAAATAATCTGGAAGGAGAGCAGGTCTTCAACCCTCTTGACCACCACCTCCAGAAACCTTCGAAGCATCACGATCCTCCTCGATTGCTTCACTACCCGGGACATCTTCATCCATCTCCTTGCCATCACCTCCCCGAGCCACATCAACTAGGGCAAAATCAGGACCCATCAAACCTAAATTAGAACTGTACTCTCCAGAAAAGGATGGATTAAACGTGTTAACCTCGAAAGTACCTGAGCTCTCTGAGAGTTGAGGAAGAGGAAGCTTGCTGACTGAGAAGTCAGAAACCTGAGCCCCCTCGTAAGCAGCAATGGCTTCCGGCATCAAAGACATCAAACGATTATACTCCACCTCAGCGTTCTGAATCTCGTTTGATAGAAAATCCTTCAAGAGCTCCGTATTAGCTTGAAGCTCTTGAGCGTAGATCTGAAGATCAACCTCATCCTTCTTCTTGGAGAACTTCTCTTTAACAGAGATAAGGATCTTATTGTAGGCATCGATGACCTCCTTTTTTCCCCTCCTAACAGCAAATTTAACTTCGGCCTCCTTGTTCTTCTGGCTGACTTGAGACGACGCAATCAAGTCTTGAACATGTTGCTCAGCAATCTTTCGAGCACTATCTAGCTCAGAAATCCTCCTACTCTTCACCCTAACATCAATTTCCAAGCTCTCAATTTTCCCCTGCTGAGCGTCAGACTTCAAACCGAGCCTCTCGACTTCAGATCGAAGCGTCGAGACCTGAGCTCTGGCTTGGTCACGCTCAATCTTGGTAGCCTTAACCATCTCGGTAACCTGGGTTAACTCCTCAGCGTTAGGCGCGTTGTTCACTGTTTCTTCAAACTTTAGCTGAGCCCTGTTAACAGCTCCAGCCACTATAGAGAAACAAATAACAGAAATAAATATCTAAAAAAAAAAAAAGAAATACGATAAAAGGGGAAGGAAAGATCCGTACATGACCCAAGTAGTGAGCAATCTCGTTAAATTCGTCCTTGTTGGTCAGATTATTAACAGGCGGAAGAGAACACCATGTTCGCTTCATGTGTCTCATCAGCGTAGCCAAACCCCACGGATCATCAAGAATCGACCCAGGCTTCGAGTGAGCGAAATTCCACCCAACGGTACCTCCCCTCGAAGATGACGAAGAGGACCTAGAAGGTCTATCGCCTTGATCGATTCGTGACCTCTTGCTCCTGGGGAGTTCAGTCTCAGAAGGTTCCTTGATCACCTGAAGATCGTCTCCCGCGACCTGAACATCAGAATAAGGAGCAATCTCCTGAGCTCCCTGTTCATCGACCAGGTTAGCATCCTTAACTGGAACGGAAGCTCCGTCATCAAGAACCTCTTTCACAGAGCTAAGGAAGGATCCTCCTTGGTTCTTCTCGCTTCCACGAGAAGTGCTGGCTGCTTTCGCTGGCCTACCCCTGGATCGGAACGATGGTTGAAGAGGCATCTTGGTCGACTGGGTTCTCTCGGTTTCAGAAGTACTAGCTTCTGTTGAAATTGTTACCACTGTGTCACCTTCGGAAACTACATCAACAAATTCTTTCAGAAATCAGAACTCATAAAAACAAGTTTATTCGTATGGAAACAAACGACTACGTAACCTTCCAACTCTGAGATCGGGATTGGAGTCAAAAAGGAAACGTTGTAACGATCTGGAAATCTGTCTGCACTTACTCGAGAAGTGGTATAAGAGGTCCAGGTACAAGGAGTTTGCTTTAGCTTTCGAAAGAGAGCTCTGGTAAGCTTGCCGGTAAGTACTGGAGGATCCTCAATATCTGCAAACAATACCAGGCAATCATTAGGTTACTGCAAGTCAAAACGTATAAATACAATCCTAATAATTCTAACCAGATGCATCAGACCAAACGGCCCTAAGAGTACGGCCCACAGGGACCGTTGAAGGATCAATCCTCACGAAAAAGTACTTCTTTCGCCAGTCGTCGTCACTACTGGAAAACTTAAAAATTCCCAACCCAGGACGACTCAAGAGATAGTAGGTTCCACTACCACCATCCTTCGAAGCACTCTCCTTTATCGTAAAAAGACTCATCAAGTCATTAATCCCGACAGAAACCCCTTCCTCCTTAGACCTGGTGATAAAACCGTTTATCACTCGAATAACGGATGGACAGAGCTGGGAAAGGGCTAGTTGATAATGATCCAGGAGGTCTAACAGCAGATCAGGGAGGGGAAACCTAAGATGACTCTTAGAGATATACTTCTCGTGAACACAAAACCAGCCTTCTGGAGCCATTTCGGGGGTTTCGTGGCCATCACAAGCCCTGGCTAACTCCTTACGGCCTAGAGCTTGGACCATGAGATTGACTATTTCCTGGCCCTTTAACGTAGAGGGTGGATGAGACCCGGAGGGAAAGCTCTCCTTAGAGCCACCGGTTCTCTTTGTTCTTTTGGAAACTCTCTGGGCTATTGACTCCTTAGTTTTCTTCTTCTTCTCAGCCTTCATCGCCGATTCACCAACCTCCTTTTTCACCTTCATGATCCGAGCTCCAGCGGCAGAGATTCCGGTCTCTCCAGAGCCTTCTCTCGGTCCAGTCATAACAGGGCACGAAGTAAAGAGATCGAGAAAAAAAAAAAAAAACTGGAACTGATAAACTAGAATTCGCGGAGTAAAACTTCAGAGAGAATCTACTCGAACCTCGTTTTGAACTTGACAGAATAAGACTGTAAAAGAAAAAGGCAGTAAAATAAAAAGAACCAGGAGGAGTTACCTGGGGAAACTGAATCGAGACGTGGAGAGAGTGGGGAAGTTGGAGTTAATGTAAACAGCTTTATATCTCGTCGAAGCCTCGAAAATCGGAGAATAATTATTTCAAAACTCTTTTAATCTGAGTCGTTGATTTCGTTAAGTGTAATTGTATCCACCAGATCAAGTAAAAGATATCCTCGAGAGAAGATCATGAGTAATCATTATCTCAACGAAAAATTAAGATTCGACGGCTAGGTTTAGCTCCCGAGAAAAGTATCTTTTCTCGAAAGCTGGGGGCAACTGTTGGGCCCAAATATGACCCATTAGATGATATTAGCGGATCAATCAAATTAAGCCTAATAATGGGCCACGCGTGAATAATTATTCCAAAGGAGAATGGAGCTCACCTAAGGACGGAGGCTACTTCCAAAGAGGTCACGAGAAAGAGGTCACGAAGAAGAGGTCCGGCTTCTCTCGCAGGAACCTAATAAAACAGCCTAGGATACGAAGATAGAGGCGTATGATTCGGTCAAAAGGAAGCTGTTGCAAATCCCTCAGTTTACGGAGGCGATCTCGGAGACTAGTCAGGAGAGGGTTAAACGTGATCTGAGGCTATTTAAAGGAAGAAGAAATGAAGAGAAAAGGATTCACGCTTTTTACGAATTAACACATACATTATCGCTCACAAATCATTCATTGATTTCCTTGTATTCATTTCAATCGTCTTTGTAACCAATATTCATCAAATACAATCATATTCATTCTTTAAGTTCTAAAAGGATTTAGCCCACGATTGTCTTTTTCCCAATCTAAACCTAACCTAAATTAGAGAGTGAGTTTTACCCCTCACAGCCAGCAGTGGGAGCAACTGAACAGGGGAATGTTCTTCCTCCGGGGTGTATTGTTGACAGTGAGGAGACTTTGGTACCTGAGGACGTGTTGGATAAGAGATATCATTCTAAAGGCAAGTTGGAGTTGTTGATTCGTTGGAAGGGTAAGCCTTCGGTGGAAGATTCGTGGATGGATTATATTGCGTTTGGTGAGTGTTTTCCAGAGTATCAGCTTGAGGGCAAGCTGAATTTCGGAGGGGGAAGTATTGATAGGTATAAGAGAGTATACTATAGGAAGAGTAAGGCGGGTAAAGGTGGTTTGAATGAGGAAGTGGAGAAACCTCTGTCTGAGGCAGAGTTTTTGGAATAAAAATAACACATAAGAAGCTTTGGAATCAGTAAGAAGGTTTGCCGTTAAGAGCCGTTGAAGCTGATTCGAGTAGTTTAAATAGAGTCGTTGTAACTTTGGGAAGTTTATGCTTGATGTTGTAAGTGAGAGACGTGATGAGTCTACTTTTCTCAGTCGTCATGAGACTGATGGATCTTTTCTAAATTCGTCATGAGAGTTTAGATTGATTCATATTCAAGTGAAATCGTTTCTCTTTGTTAATAAAAGGAAGTTACAGAGTTCATTAGTTACAGATAGCTAAAATCTATCAGATTGTCTAATCTTTACGAGTAACTTTTTGAGTCAAATCGTGTGCTCATGATGATCTAAACGAATATGTAAATAAATGCAAGAAGATGTACCGGCTGAGTTAGCAAATCTAGTTGTGTTGAGGTTTGTTCTCTGTTGTGTTTTATCACTCACTCTTTGTTTGCAAGTAAAGTTTCAATTCAGGTAATCCGTCTTTTAAAGATACTAGGAAAATGGAATCTGTTTGCAAGTAAAGTCTCAAATCAGATAATCCGTCTTTTACAGATACCAGGAAAATGGAAGCCTTCACTCCCAAGACTTGAATCAGCCATCACCACAGAGACAATGCCGAAGCCCGTCGAGTGATCTTCTTTTGCTTGTCAGCATATGAATCAAAAAACAAGTCAATTGTGGCTTGTGTTACAAGTTAATAATAAGACGGAATGGAGAGAAAAAAGGATTAAAATCACTCCCAAAACTTTTCCATTTTTCGGTTTATAACAACACCTTTGATATAGACTAGAAGAAAAAACTGAAATATGTTTTAAGCGTTGGTTAATTAGGTAATCACAAAGTTAAGATAACTCAAATCACGCTAAAAAGCACAGTCCGGATACAATTAGTCTGGCTGTCTAAGTGCGATTTTAGCTTCCTTAATTATATGTTACTCACCATGGAATGGTACAAACAATTTTCTTAGTTGAAAAATCTGATTTGTAACAAAAGGGACTAGGCAAGGAGAATGAACTCTCTCCTAATATTTCGTGGTGGAGAAGAATTCTTCTTCACATCAAAAACCGAATATTCGACTATCGAGATAACTCGTATCATTATAGTAAAACAAAAAAAAAGAGACAAGTTCATGACCACAATATTTTTTGGTCTTATTTTGTTCTGTGAGAAAAGAAAAAAAATAGACGGGGAATAGATGCTCCATTATAACTGAGGGAGCTTGTGCCTATGCAGTACCTTCCTTCAAATAAGCAATGAGATCGGCACGATCTTGTGGCTTTTTCAATCCAGGGAACACCATTTTCGTCCCAGGGATATACTGTAACAAAGCAACAAAATCCACATCAATCAGAAAGAGATCTAGTTCTCACTAAATCAGCTCTAAAAAAAAGAGACAACCAACATACATAATGAAGAAATGACTCAACATGTTTTTTATTGTTAATATTTGGGACTCAACATGTTGTTGTTATTGACAACCTTGTCATTCAATCTAAAGATGAAGAACGTTGCCTAGTATTGTTGAACAAGCAAATCGGTTTGTAGCAAATAAAACAATCAACAGAACCTTGGTTTTAAAAAGCGTTGATATGAATAAATATTTAAATATAAGATAAATCCATAAAAGGAAACAACCCAAGATACTCGTCATTCAGTAAAATCAATTAATCTTGATATGAACATATATATGGCGAAAAAAAGAAAAGAAAATACCTTCTTGGGGTTCAAGAGGTAATCGTAAAGAGTCTTCTCCTCCCACATGACGGCCATGTTTTTGTTAGCAGCAGAGTAGGAATACCCTGGCGTTGTTCCTGATTGCCTCCCAAACAATCCATTCAAGTTTGGTCCTGTTTCCACAACGCAACGCAAGATGAGATCAGTCGATCCGGTTCAGAAATGATACGGCAGATCTAAGTCATTATCCCCTCTCAGGGAATGAAGAAAAGAGAGAGAGAGAGAGAGGAGGACGGACCTTGTTTGTGACCGGCACCTTTGTCGACGGTGTGGCACTGCGCACACTTGGTTCTGAAGATCTTCTCTCCGGCCTTTGGGTTTCCAGGAGGTGCTTCGTCGAACGACGCCATTTTTGATCGATAATTTTTTTTAAAAAGTAAAAAATAAATCTGAACGAACGGTGGCTTTGAGATTTTTGTTGTGTTTTGGTGAATGACTCCTTTTTTTAATGTGAAAAGGGGGCTTTGTTTTTGAAAAGAAGTTTCGAGGAAGAAGAGGAGGTGGCCGCGTGAGCGTACCACAGGCCATACGTTTTTATGAGCCACGTGGCTTTCCTTTTTAAAACAACTATTGGCCACGTTGCTTTTCTGTTGATTTATTTGGGAAAAGGGTTTTTTAGACAAAAAATTAAGACATTGTCCCTTTGACCTAACTTGTATTTTGTAATATTTTCGATTCTAATGCTTTTAAGTATTTTCAAAAATTAATCAAATAAATAATTTTATAAAGAAAAAAAAATTCAAAAAGAATAACTAATGATGAAATATCTCTATCAATTTTGTGCTATTTTCAGTTTAAAAATGTTTAAATCATAATTTCCTATTTTATTCTACAAATATTAAAATTTGCATTCTACAAAGTAAATATGAAATCCACTTTTTTCATAAAATATACTATGCTCTGAATACATATTTTACGTAAATAATAGTTATCTAAAACTATTTGAAATACACATTTCGCACTTAACACATCTCTCTAAAATCAATAGAAATATCTAAAAATTACTATAAATCTAAAAATATGTAGAAATCGCAATCTACATATTACAATAAATCTAAAACCAGTAAAAATTGATTTCAAACATTCTTACTACATTCTACATAAATATACATATTATACGGACAAAGAAAATCAATTGTCAAAATTAGGGAACAAAATATTTGAACATATTCATTTACCATATATAAAAATTTCATTTTAAAAAAAAAAAAATTATTGTTTTTTAATCAGAATTTCGAACTAATAAAATATTTCTAAATATTTTTTTTTAAAAAAAAATATGTGTAATTTCAAAAATTTGAGAATAAATATTTGGAATATTTTCTTAATTTCGAATAATTTCTTTTTCAAAATTTCGAATTGGTGTTTTTAAAATATTGGGATTTTTTAATTTCAAATTATATTTTAAATTATTTGGAATTTTGTTTTGTTATTTTATTTTTATTTCGACTTAGTTTTCTATTTTAGAAATTTGGAAATATTTTTAATATGATTTTTTTAAATATATAGAAATTTTTCGGGGAAATTTTTTAAATTTCGAATTAGTTTTTCTTTATTTGGAAATATTTTTTAATTTCGATTTAGTTTTTAAATATTTGGAATATGTTTTTAAAAAATATTTGGAAATATATATTTTTAAATAATATTTGAATTTCTAAAATTTTGGAATAAGATATTTAAATTTCTAAAATTTTGGAATAAAAAGTTTGAAAATATTTTTTTAATTTGGAATTAGTTTTTGTATTAAATTTAAAATATATAATTTTTATTTTCTAATTAAAAGTTTGTATTAATTAACTAAATTTAAGGGCATTATTGATATTCAAATAATGTTTAACCTAATAGGACAACTAAACAATGAAATTAGTTTAAAAGGACAATGTACTAGATATTTTGATATATAAAAACAATTTTCTCGGCTGGCCCATTTATTCCTTTTTTAGTATTTTGTTTTTATAAATTCGCTTTTATAATGTGAGTTTTGTTGTCCAAAACTAGATATCTAACCCAAAGATCAAAACAAATTTAAGAATAAAAATTAAAATAAATCTTCAATAATATGGATACGAATAGATTTTTAAAAGTGTTTTTATTAAGTTTCTTTTTAAAATTTTACTTATAACATTAAATTATAGAGAAAATTAGCATATATCCACTCATCCGTGACAATAATTAGGAAACTATCTTCCCCTCTACTCACGCCTTTTCATTCCTACACTATCTTTATCAAATAGGCAATGGTGGATGTTGGAGAGGGATTGAACACCCTTCCACAACGCCCGTCGAATAACAGGCTTCAGCTTATCTATGGTCGGTTCGATTGGAGCTCGATTGAAACAGGAGACTGAACCGAAAGTCTGAATGACCGGTTCACTTCAATAGCCGACCAACTAGCCAAATGGAACCTACTTTTGCAGATTATCACTGGCCCAGAAGCCCATCAAGCTCGAGGCCGATCTTGGGCCTTTCGAGCTAACTTTAGGGCGAACGAAGACGAGAACGAACTGAGTAGTATAAAAGGACGGCAAAGGTGAAAGAGAAAGGGATCCGAAAATAAGCACAAGAATACTGACCGTAAGATCTAGGGTTTATCAACCGATCGAACTCCCTTGTATTCTCGTCGGCGCTTTCATAACGCTCCGACCTTTTACATCTCTCTTAATCTTCTTGTAATCACGTTCGTCATCACATATTGATTAATAAAACGTCTTCTTAAGACCCACAAATCGAGTTTTGCTTCCCTTTCTATCGATCAAACAAACTCAGATTCAACATTTGACGCCCACCGTGGGGCCTTATGAAGTAGCGTTAACGAAATCAGTATGCGTCCTGACGACTCGCCCGCCGATGACGCACCCGAACAAAGACCGGTCGCCGCGAACGACAAGAGGAAACCAACAGAGTTATGAACGAACGCTTAACCGCGCTTGCTGCTGCTCTCGCCGTAACTGACGGTGATACCGGAGATACGGAGACGGCCAGACGCCGACTACACTTTATCGCAACGAACCCGACGCCTGTCGGCGCCGGTCCTCAGGTCGGTGGAACAACTCATGACGCTAACCCTGCTGGCCAACCGACCGACGGATTAGACGCCGCCACCAAACTCCAGATGGATGAGCTGAGGATGTCGATGAAGGTTATCCATTCTAAGATACACCATGTCACAACCTCCGCCCCAGAGATTGAGCGCGTCCTTGCCACCACGCTAAAAAATCCGTTCACAAAGCGGATCACGGACACCAAAATAAAAAAAAATCAACAAGCTCTGTTTCCCCAGATACACCGGCGAGACAGATCCGACTGATCACGTGACTGTTGGGGTCAAAATCGGTACGACGGAATTAATAACCAAAACTCCCCGCAAAAATACAAAAGGAACAGTTTTATAAAACTCGAGGATCGTCTTATAAAACTCGAGAAATCGTTTTATAAAACATAAGGATCGTCTTATAAAACTCGAGAAATCGTTTTATAAAACATAAGGATCGTTTTATAAAACTCGAGAATCGTTTTATAAAACTCGAGGATCGTTTTATAAAACTCGAAGATCGTTTTATAAAACTCGAGAAATCGATTTATAAAACCCNCGAGAATCGTTTTATAAAACTCGAGGATCGTTTTATAAAACTCGAAGATCGTTTTATAAAACTCGAGAAATCGTTTTATAAAACCCAAGGATCGTGTTATAAAACTCGAGAATCGTTTTATAAAACTCGAGAATCGTTTTATAAAACTCGAAGATCGTTTTATAAAACCCGAAGATCGTTTTATAAAACTCAAGAAAACGTTTTATAAAACTTAAGGATCGTTTTATAAAACTCGAGAATCGTTTGATAAAACTCGAAGATCGTTTTATAAAACTCGAGAAATCGTTTTATAAAACATAAGGATCGTTTTATAAAACTCGAGAATCGTTTTATAAAACTCGAGGATCGTTTTATAAAACTCGAAGATCGTTTTATAAAACTCGAGAAATCGTTTTATAAAACCCAAGGATCGTCTTATAAAACTCGAGAATCGTTTTATAAAACTCGAGAATCGTTTTATAAAACCCGAAGATCGTTTTATAAAACTCAAGAAATCGTTTTATAAAAGTTAAGGATCGTTTTATAAAACTCGAGAATCGTTTTATAAAACTCGAAGATCGTTTTATAAAACTCGAAGATCGTTTTATAAAACTCGAAGATCGTTTTATAAAACTCGAAGATCGTTTTATAAAACTCGAGAATCGTTTTACGAAACCGCAAAAAACGGAAATAGCCGTAAAACGCGAACTAGTCGCAACTAGTTCGCCCATGGGCGAACTAAGAGATACCGATCTAGTTCGCCCATCGGCGAACTAAGAGGTACTCAACTAGTTCGCCCATCGGCGAACTAAGCCGGCCCGGCTTAGTTCGCCGATGGGCGAACTAGAGGCTTCCTGGACACTCCGCGTCTCGATCTCCCGCATTCCCGATTCGAAACTTACGTCTTTCGACAAGATCGCGTTCTAAACCACGGCCGAAATATCTCCCGTTCCATCTCGATCTGACTTACCGTTCGAGTTTTACGATAAAAACCGTAAAACTTCGCTTTCTCGGAAAGAACTCGAGGAAATCGTATAAAACGGAAACTGTTAAACGAAACACCGAACATTGCCTAAACTATACGATTTATTCGAGATTTCTAGTTGAAATCATAAAAAACGCGTTTTTAATAAAAAACGCCGAGTAAGTCGTAAAAAACGTGTTTTTAATAAAAAGTCGTGTAAATCGTAAAACCTTGTGATTAACTCGAGTAATTTATTAAAAACAACGTCAGATCAGGAAACGATCCCGTAAAAAGTCGGAAAACGGATTTATCGCAAAACGGCCCGGAAGGATCTAAAACGCGATAAAAACCCATCTCGCGATCTTAACGGAATCTAACCCGCAGATTTGATAACGTTTTGACGGTTTACTCGCAGGAGGAAAATAAAAGTCAAGTTTAAAGATAAAAGGAAGGTTTGAAGAGAAATAGAAGATTTCCGCGGAAGAAAAGGAAGGATCGGGAAAGATGGAAGATTCCCGATATGGTCGAATCTGGGCGAAATGGAAAGACCGAACAACCAAGGCGAGGAGTATATAAATAGGAGGTCTAGGGCAGAAGCAAGACACACGAAATTCAGAGCTCTCACCACCAAAATTAGCAATTAGGAATATTTCCGTTTTTCTGTTAGCGAGCTGCGTCTCAATTAGGGTTTTCGTTCTTAAGCTTTTCGGCTACTCTTTTGTACCAGTTCTACGCAGATTCGGAATAAGAACCTCTTTGCTCTCTATTACGTTTATTTTCATTCAAATTCTAAGTTATCGTTTTCTTATTTTTTGTTGTGCGGCTCTGCAGATAGCTGGTTCCTCTGGAAACTTAGGGTTTTCCTGAAGTTTCCTTTTTTACGATTTATTTGACAGTGAGTGGATTTCGA